AAATGACGTTAATGCCACAACACGGCAAATCTCCGTTAACGAGCTACCACGGATTGCCCAGTGCGTGGGGCTGGACAGCGTCAACACGTTAACGAGCTAACTGCGCTAACGCACTAGTTCCCACCAATGTAATTGAGCATTGCGTGGCACATCCGACATACTGTTTTACTTTTGTCCATGACACGCTTACCTTCAGGGTCATACGTCACATGAAAACCAAAATAGTTCTGAAGGCCAGATCTGAATGAGGGTGGGGGAGGTTCAATTTGCCATGTTGCAACGATCTTAGCTTCTGTCTTGCTAGCTTGCGCTGCGCTCGACAGTGCAGCCTAGGCAGTAGTCGAACGCAGATTCACTGAGCTCTCAACACAGACAGCATCATCAGAAGAAAAGTCGATAAAACAAATTTAAAAATTTGTATTGTTCATACATATGCGTACCGAACCGAAAGCACTGTATCCAACGGTTCAATATCAATACGAGTATCGTTGCACCCCTAATAGATAAATATCTGAAAAGAAAAAGTAGTCAGTCTGGTCCTGGTGAAAACTCTGACCCAGGTGAAGGCCCAGCGTGAGTAGTGGTCAGAAGAAAGCAAAAAATCTATAGTGGGGACAAACCGAGCCAGTTCTGCTATGTCTGGTGCGCTGGGGAAAATGATCAATATGCTTTTTGTCACATTTTTTTTTTGGTGGTGTGCCGTGTGATTTTTCTAATGTGAAATATGTGCAGTGGATCCAAAAGGCTGTGAAACACTGTCTGTGGAGCTCGAAAAGAAGGTTCTCTAAGTTAAACTTTAACGAGTCCAGTCACCGTCTTTTCAAGCTTCTTAGAAGTTTTTCTTAATAAGAAATAAATGGATTTAATGAACCCTTTAAGACTTTAAATCTAATGGCATCACTTACTTCAGTTTCTTCACTAGGTTTGATGTTTTGGGAATCCTGAATATTTGTATAAAATTAGTTTGCACCATTTTTACATGATTCATGATTTACATCATATAATGATATCTTTGCTATAGCAGTGAATGAGTTTATCTTTGCCAGCATAAGGATGGTGTCTGGGATAAAAGCGAGTGTGTCAGCTGCAATAATGATTTAGAACCTAAAGATTGAGTTATTTTAACAGCCTCCAACATTAAAGTAGACATTTATAGAAGAAAGAAAACGGTTCTCACTGAAGGTACAAAGAACAAACACGATTTACCACTCAAGGCAAAAACACAACGTCAAATACAACCAGGCTGCTAAGGAGCTAACAGCTGGTGACGAGCGACCTAGATGTAAACAGATGACTCCACAAGCATGCAAGCTCCACATCCCAGGAAACGCTGCATGGCTGCATTTACATGATGGAAAACCAGAGCGTTAAGGAGCCGAGCTGGTTAAAAACTCGAGCAAAGGTACAACATTGCAGCATGTGAGGATATTACTCAGGCTCCTGAAGACGTACAAAGTTTATTAGTGAATGTGGTCCTCTGCTCATTTACAAAGAACAGTCGAATTTTGTGATTTTGGATAGTTTGGCTTTAATGGAGGTGGTGGTGGAATCAGATTAAGAGTGAAAAGACTGCCAAAAGTCAATAAGGGTTTCCCATTGCTCTATTTTCTCCCTCCCCGTCACCTCCCCTGTCATCTGTCCTCCTCCAGACACCCAGAAATCAATCTGACACATTTTGAAAAATGTCCCAATTCCGGTCTATCTGGGAGAGACGATGGAGAGAGAAGCTGAGGATGCACAGGTGTGGAAGTGTTTTTACGCATGACGGATGAAATATATAAATCATGTCAGGAGCAGGACTAAAGAAATGAATCAAGTGTTCCTTTGTATTTATAAGTTGTTTCATTTTTTATGATGACACCTTCCCTCCACCATTTGTGATGTGAGTATGACATCTAAGATCATCAAACAGAGCAGCAGGCTGTAACAAACCAAGAATCACATCACATTTAATTGACACGGCTTGGAACAAGGCTGAGAGAAAAGCACGTCTGCTGCTGCACAATGCCTTAACTCGACTCCTCATCTATCGCTTCCTTGTTTCCTTGCTTACATCTTTGGTGGGAGGGGCTAATATCGAGGAGATTCAAGGATTTAGAAAGTGAACAATGAGACAAGGAGTTGGATTCATCCTATCTGACCAACCTCACCTACAAACAAAACAACTAAGCTATCAAATGTTGGGATACTTAAATGAAAATGCAGGAAATGACCAGAATTCCATGTGTGGTGTTCACTGCATCAAAAATGTTTCCATTTTATAAAACAATACTCACTCGGTAATTGTTTCCCAGTGACAGGAGAGCAAAATCACAGACTGCATGTGGAATTACCCAAACAACATTTTCAGGATACAGTATGTGTTTGTTTGTACTTGTGGTTTGTTGTGCATGTAATCTCCTTTACACAATTTCCCCACAGACTTGTTATCATGCTTCGACAGCACCCTACACGTATCACAGAGAATGGACGTTTCCGGTCTCTGGTATGTTTATAGCTTTTATTAGAATAATAAATCGAATATGTTTGCACATCATGTGAGAGGAAACAATAAACATCAGCACAAGCTGCTGGTTTGTGCTTTGCAACGTGATGCTAGCTTCATGTTGTGGTGCATCTTGGGAATTTCTTTGGATTAGGATTGTTTACATGGAAAATGGTGGATGTTATTCATGAGGCGTGGTGCTCATTCATCTGGACGAGTTAAGCTCGACCATTATTTAAAAGATACACAAAGCCCAGAGCAGCAAAGATCTTTATCTTCTCTTTAATAACTCAAGAAAGAGGAAATAAAGCGAATATGAGAGTGTGGCAGCAGCTGTGTAGTATTTGTGTACAGGTGCTATGACTAATGCACGCCAGTGTTTCTAGCTTGACATTATAAAGCACTGGAGCAGCACGTCTTCAGGGGTTGTGTGTCCTTAAGCCTTTGGGGCTTTAAGACTTGACTCAGTTCAGAGATGGTGAATGCATTCCTCTGACTGAGTACTTAAAGACAAACCTTTATATTTACATAAGTCATTATTATTATTGATTCTGAATCTTTTCATCATTCTGCCTTCACAGATCTCACACTCCCAGAATCCTTCACAGGTTACGGCTGCTTCGAGTATCAAACACATACTGCTGAGCAGGTCCCCTCATGCTGACCTGTTGGGGCACAAATTTGGGTTTGAGTGCCAGGCCCCACAGGGTCTGCATGTATGTCAGGTAGAACAAGTCCAAGTATCCACATCTATGCCAGGACTCCACCCATCCCAGCACTGCCGTATAATGGCATGCATAATGCTATCCACTTCACTTATCAGGGGTATTTAATATTGTAACACTGGTGCGGTGCAACCTGATCTGATCAGAGCGGACAGCTGCAGCAGTTCCAGATAAGGACGACTTTAAAACCAGGAGCAATATAAAGTGTGTAGGTTTAATAAAATGTCAGATTCTTTAAGCTCTCAGCGTCTAACGTCACGTTTTAACAGGTCTCCACTATCCACTTATATGATTGCACGTACCTGCGTGAAAGTCGACTCCCACAGCAAAAAGCGTTCCTGTGATGGGCATGAGGGCTTCGCTGTTGTCATTCGGGTCAAGAGCAATTCCCCGGATTCCCTCATGGATGGAATACATTAGAAATGAGTCAACACCTAAAGAATCACAGAGGGATCTATTAGAGCGCAGATAAAAGCATTAAAGCTCAAGAACTCACGAATGCCCTTTGACGCACGTCGAGATTATTCATTTATCCACAACCTCACACTGAGGGTAACGAAAGGCTCAAAGAAACTGGGAATCGTACCTTCGCAAGACGTGCGATCGCTACGCAAGTTGTAGCCAACGGTGCAGGAGCAGCTGCGGGTGTTCTCTGAAGTTGGGAAGCACAGCTGCGAGCATCCTCCGTTGTTTACTTGGCACTGATTTCTTCCTGATTATTAAAACAAAACCAGCAAAAGGGCGACAGTGACGCACCATCAGCAGGCATGTCCATCTTTGTGAATCACGTGAGAGAGGCTGCTTACCTTTCTGGCTGTCCCTGTCGTACACCTTCATGTGAACCACCCCGCCCGTCTTATTTCTCAAAACAACAAGGTTGCGCCCGTCTCTCTTGGTGACCGTTCCCAGCCGTCCTGATTCCTCATCTGCCCACCAGAGTTTTCCACCTGTAGCCAGCAAAGAAAATCTGAATTAACTCCATTTTTAGAGCAAGGCCAAAGAGCATTTTCCTTTCTTTTTCACAATATGGTACAAATGAGTTCTTGAAAACACAAGCAGGCAAATCCCATCCTTCAAAGTGCAAATGCTGAGCTTCAGCCTGCACTCTAATCTCCTAAAGCTGGCACACTTATTCCTTAAAGCCTGTTAATAATTGAGGCCTTCTCTGAGCTGATTTCAGATTAAAAGTGGGTTTCCTGTCTCGCCTGAGTTTCAGCCTTGAACTGCAGGAAGGTTTTTAGCTCCACTGAAGCTTTTCCATGAACTTGAAAGACAAACGTTTCCATTACCGACTGAAGCGGGCATCACATTCCTACAAACAGATAGAAATACAGCATGTGCTGTTTGACCAAAGGGGCTGCTGACTGCTGCACACCAAGCCCAGCACCTCTGTCCTCAGCAGATATCAGTGACGCACAGTCCTCGCCAGGCGCTTTGCCATTTACTCGACAGGCGTGACAGGAACTTCTCATTTTACAATCCCACTGAGGTGACAAGTAAAAAGGAGTTAAGTGAGTCCTCTCCTTCCAGGATAAACATCAGAGGAGGTGAAGATGACCTCATTCTAGAAAGGATAAAACCACAAAAATGAACACAGTATCTATAACATACCCCATAATTAGGTCACACAAACATGGCTATAACAGACTGTATGTTGTAAAAGCTAAGAGCGGTGGAGGCCGGAGGACTCACCTTTGCATTTTCATACAAATCCCCAACAGAGGAATTACTGAGCTGAGCAGCAGCAGCAGCAGCAGCAGCGAGCGCTCATTAAATGCCTCCTCCTTTAGAGCAATGTCAATTACCAGCACATTTCTTTTTCCTGCTTTGTGCTAATGCAACCATTCAGAGCAGCGCTGCTCCTGGACACAACCTGGTGCAATTCAACACCCTCTTGAATTAGATTAGCAACCTAACTTAAATGACAGATGCATTCTCATCCAAGACAACATGTTAAGTACCATCTAGAAAATGTGCCCTGTACATTTTCCAGCATCACTTCCTGGAAGGCACGACGTTCTTTAGTTCTCTTGCACGTTTTGCGTCACTGCATTCAACCACCCACACACACCCACCCACTCACACACAGCCACCGACTCACACACACACACACACACACACACACCAACACACACCCACCCATTCACACTCACCCACACCCACAGAAACAATTCCCGCTTCCATTAACAGCTTTAGGCTGAATGCCATCCTTAAAAGAAATGTAAAACTCGCTTCCACAAATCAGGTAAATTCCCATGAGTGGGAATGACAGTCTTCGTGCAGTTTACAAAACATTACACCCCGGAGGGCACGCTAGCCGAGATTAGCTTTGCACCCCGTGTTAATTTAATGCCGTTGGGATCACTGGCTAGGTGCGATTGCTCACTTGTGGCACATCATATTCAATTTCCACCTCAACTGCTAGTTTGATCCCCGGCAATTCACGGCTGATGGATCACTCACACCTTCTGAAATAAGCCCTCTCTTCTCCCTCAAGCCAATCCAATTATTACAGAGCCTTAGGACCGAGTGGGTCAAACTTGTGTCACTAACTGTGCCTTCATTATACCTTTTCACAGCCAGCGTGAGCAATCACTAAGACATGAAGGCAAAATGAAAAGCCAGCACCCCATCATGGAGAAACATACGATTCTTCCCTCAGAAGTGCGTTCCCGATTACCAGTGCAAATCTGCTAAACCCTTTTTCATGCTCGTCTGCCTGGTTGTACGACTGCATCTACCTCCCACTGTGACAGAGATACAGATTCATCATTTGTAAACAAGCTTTCATCGCTCACGCACGATGGTTCTTCGGAGTAACCTCAACCACTTCAAATATGACTAACTGATCAATCAAGCTTGTAAACGACCAGAGACGAGAACAAATGCTTCTCAGATTTATGCTCATTAATGCTGATTGCTCCAGTAACCACAAAGGACACAAAAGCCTTTAATTCACTGGTACTGATACTCTGATGTTACCTACAGTTTTTATCCCCACCAGAGCAGACAATGCATGCTTTTAGTTGCAAATCCATATTACAGTCATGCTGGCATATGTATTAGTATATTTCTTCTTTGTTCTTTACTGAACTACAAAGACGAAGGAAAGCGAGAGAAAAAATATACAGAACTCTGTGGTAAACACAGCAAATGGTCACCAAATGCACTTAACTGCAAATCACACCATGCCGATAAAACTAAAGCTGCAAAGGGACATTTTCTGTAATGGGCATCGCTGACAGGCTGTGCACTCGCCAACAACAAAAGAAGCTCAGGAGTGGAAAATGACCTGTCTGGCTGCTGTCCTACTCTCTTCCACCAGCCTCATTTTCAGCTGACCTGTAACTTTTACAGGTTCGTGCTCAATGATCTACAGCAAAGGAGGACTGAATGTTGGCATCACGAAACACGATAACATAAACCCTACAAAACCGCTTCTGTTCCTCGTTTCTGGCAGACGGGCGCGTCCATAATTTGTTGCACAAACACACTATTTTGTAGGTTTGTCTCTGCACAACAACAACCACACAGGCAGAAATTTTCCTTTAACTTTTTCATTTTTAATCAGAGCCTGATAGTAAACTGGACACGTGACACGAGCACTTTGAGTTTCCTGCTCTGTTGGTACGTCGGAACAACTGAAGCGGACACAGCTCATTCATGTTTTTACATTTGTATTTCAGAGCTTTTTGCAGTGATTTTAAATGTAAAAAGGCCAAATCTGTCACATTGTTAAAAAGAAGGCATGCACTCGCCAGCCCAGCAACACGGCGCCGATAAGAACAAGAAGGTCAGATTAGAGTTTTCCTAAAGCATCTCGAGAAGCCTGCGCAGTCCTGAAACAAGATGAAGCCAAGACTGATGCATAAGGTTAGACACAGCTCATGATCAGAGGCCGACCACACTATCTGTCAACCATGCTGGGGCAGTTTAAGCCTCTGAAAATGGGTCATGAAATATAACAAATCCTGTAGTTGCTAAAAAGTTAATGTGTTAAAAAAGTGAAACATCGTCCAATCATAAATCTGTATTACTGGTGTTTAACTGGTGTTTAACCAGTACAATTCCTCTGTTTTACCAAACGTAATGGTAAAGCAGCAAAGTACGGTTCGGTCGACCAATCAGCTTCTTCAAGATAACAAAATGTGGATAATTGTGATTGATGTAGACTTGCAGACATCATTTCACTGTTTTGCTGCAGCTGCTCCTGCACAGGAGCGCAGCTATTAGTCTGTGTCACCTCACATTCTACATCCCATTTGTGAAATGCAATAATGAAGTCTCCAGTGTCCATTCCTGCACAGCCAAAGTATTCACTATAGAAATGCCCACAAAAATGAACCTAAAAATTGTGGCTTACACGTGCAGAAAGCTAATAGTGTACAAAACAGTGGAACTCCATCCTGCCACTGCTGTGTTATTCTGCAACACAGTAATTAATACTCTGTGCACATGCTGACAGATACCCACCGCACAGAAAACGAAGGCCTGTCATGGTTAATAACATGCTTCAAGAACACGCTGAATCACTCTGACAACACTCTTCCATTTCATATTTTAGTTTTTTGTTTGTTTGTTTTTTCTTTTTTTCCCTTCAAATCACAGTTTGCTTCAGACCCACACACAAAAAACCAAAAAAGTCTCTCTTCAATAAGCCTTTGTTTGCTCTCTTCCCATTACCAATCTTGGCAAGTGTAATGCATTCACATAGCTCACTGGGAGGTTTCCCAATTGTCAAGGTGCAGCAGTGTGGAAGTGAAACAATTTAAAATTCAAATTCTGCTCTGCAGCTTCAAAGAATAAGAGGTGAAATAAACACATCAATGAAACAAACGTGAAACGAATGAAATGGGACTGAAGTCTGAACCGTGGACACTGCAGTGGACGCTTTAGCATTAAAGATGCTGTGTGTGTAATATTTGTGTCCAGCACAGACACTGCAACGACTTGCAACAACGCAACAATGACCGCGACGATCATCGTGCAGCTATTATTTTTAAAACTTGTTGTCTCTGCTGGCGCTTGTTTTCTTTTCAGAGTCAGTTTGATAAAAAAAACGTTTTGATGCAGATCCAAAGATCCTTCACTGAGTCATGTCCATTAGCTTTGCTGCACATCACAGCCACCGAGATCTTTAGCAGTGTTATTTATCACTCCACCAAAGTAGATTGCTGTACAGTTCGTGGCATCACTATTGTTTAAATAGATATATAATCATGGGTCTAATCCCGAGCTCAGCCCTGCTTCCGAGATCAGACGAGATGGGGCGTGCTCAGGGTGCTGTGCCCGTAAGTATCCCACAGTGGTTAGCAATGTTGCCTCACAGTAAGAATTTCAATTCAGTTCAATTCCACCATCAGGCCGGGTATTTCTGATTTTACATGTTCTCCCCGTGTTTGCGTGGGTTCTTCCCGGGTCCTCCAACTTCCTCCCACAGTCCAAAAACACGCAGTTAGACAGGTCAGGTTAACTGCTGATTCTAAAATTCACACAGGTTTAAATGTGAGCGCGAATGGTTGTCTGTCTCTGTGTGTTAGCCCTGCGACAGACTGGCGAGCTGCCCAGGGTGTACCCTGCCTCTCGCCCTATAACACCTAGGATAGGCTCCGCCCCCTGAGACCCTGAAAAGGATGGATGGGTCTAATCCCATTTACACAAATTGTTTCACAAAATTTCAGTCATTTCAGTCTCTTTGGATAAAACTCAACGTTATCCAAGATTACACGTGTCAGTAACTCCCAATTGGTCGAGAGTGTGGTGCGCACACGCCTATAAAAACATTCACTTACGTCAAGGTGTTTGTTTGTTTATATAGGTATTAGGTGCATAATGTTAGCAACATTTTCTGGGTTGTGGAAACTAATAACGTTCTTTATCTGTATCAGCTAATGAACTGGACAGGAACCCACTCACGCTGCATGTGCAAACTGGTTCTACTTCCAACTCGTCCCCTCGTAGCTGCCAGCATCATAAAGCATTCGGTATATTTGTACAGATGTTTTCTGCAGGCGGGTTTTCATCTACAACATGCTGACGCAGATTTCAGGCATTCAGAATGAACCTACACGCTGATAGATGGTGGACACACTGGATTGAGCACTGATACCAAGAATCACTCCGTAATGAACATCCTCCACCCTTCTCATTATGGAAAGGGTGAGAAAATCAATCATCAATCATTGCTCTGTTGTGTTTTAATTATCTAATGCTCCTAATTCTTCACATAGAGTGAGGCACAGCTGTTTGCATGCACTCTCTAAATAGCTCCATTTTAAAGCCACTTAACTGGTTAAACGTGTAATCCTTTCACACTCTGAGTAATCCTCGGCGACAATCTGATGCACTTGTGACAAGCTCCACTCACCCATCACGGCCAGAGCTGTGCCTTTGGCTAACTCCCTCTTTACAGTCTCGAGCACCTCCAGCCCACTGCCATCCAGATTGCACCTGTTGATGGTCCCGTTGGTCGAGCTTATCCAGTACAGCTTGTTGGCAGCGTAGTCTATCGAGAGGCCTGAGACACAGCGAGTCAGGAGAGGATATCGAGTCAGCAAAGAAAGCATCATTAGGGACTCAAAAATACAAAATGTAACATTTGAATATGTAAAATATTGATGGTGTAGATTAAAATTATGTTGTCATTTGAGGTATTACAGTAAAAAAAGGACACTTGGACATTAATCCATCTGCACACAGCTCCTCTCACTAGCAGCTGAACTCAGAACCGACTTTATGAAAAAGTTTCTGAGGTCAGTAAAGTCGGTGTTTCAAACACACTGAAGTATTAAACACTTAGAAATATTAACCTGGCCGGTGTTGTGCCAAAAACAGATTGTTTCCATGTGTAATGTCTCTACTTTTATTGATAAACAGACCTTGTTAAACAGGATTTACAAATGCGATGTATATAAAATGTAAACATTTGTGTTACTGTACCTACATTATAACCAGTCTGGACACTTGGAATATGTTTGCAGGACCTTTGTTATGTTTGCTGTGCGTTCTGCTGCCCTGTTGGCCACAAAGCTTAAAAAAGACAATTTTAATGTCAACCAGATTTTTTTTAACTGGACAAATAAAAGATATAAAAATCACCGACTGCAGCTTCGACCTTGTGACAGGAATGTGTTTGTGGCTCAAGATGACTTGATATCATTCATGACCGACACATATGACGTGTTTCACATATTATAGGTTATTCATAGCAATTTAAATACAGACAGTTACTTTTTGATAAATTTTTATTTTATTTTATTTTTTATTTTGGTAAATACCGGGATCCACGCTAACGTTAGCCACGTCACTGCTAGCAGGTACCTAGCTACCTAATAGCAAAATGATAATGTTAATCTTGGAGCTACACATCAAATATAATAAGTTCTGTCCGTTTGTATCATTAACATTATTATTAATTAATTTAACAGTTTCTTATTTGTTATTCCCCCCCCCTATCAAAAATAATGTCGTGTATCGAGTCCTCTCACTGGGTATTTCTGAGAACAAGTGCACTACACGGAGGTTAAGGTGATGCAGTTTTGAAACGTACCTCTGTGATGCTGCATAAATGCTTTTCCTGCTGTTTGAGTGCGTGCTAATAGAAATGCTCACGTGTTTACTGCTGCTTGTTTGTGGGGGATCTGTTTAACAGGACTCCAGCTGGCTTGAAAAATGAACAAACAGGAAGCAGACTGCTTTTGAATCCATTTCCTGGCTGATGTAATGGCGGGAATATCACTGTTAATGGTGGGAGCTAAAAGCAATTTCAGTTGCGTACCTCTGGACAACTCAATGTCTCCCACCATGTGTTGGATTTATGTCTGGCAGATTCACAGTCACAATGCATCGTTAATTTACTCTTGTCCCCAGGTCTGCCCCATAATCATAAATGAAGCCAGTGAAATATTGTGCAGCATCCTATCTGTACTGCTGACAGGCCCAGGAGCATGAAAAACCCTGTGAAGACAACGCTGCTGTGTGTGACAAATTGTGTGTTTGACCTTGAGCTGTGTAACAAAAACGAGTCGAGATGAAGAACAGACGACTGTTTTTGCTAAATCGAGCTAAAGCTTATTGTCTGGGATGAGTCAGCATCACCTGACACCAGCACAGGAAACATACATCAGGTAAACATACTTCACGTGTGGACCTAGAACACGTGTGGACACAGAAATACATGAATCTCATGAACATTACGCAGGAAGCACTAACTAACGATCCAGTTAATGATACTGGTGTCATTTCTGAAAACCTGTGTTGTGTAAAAATACATCACAGCAGAGCGACAAGGTCGGCGCTGCCAAAAGTCCACGTATGCACCTGATGTCATGTTCCTTCTGAAAAACCGACAGATATATTTTTCTACTGATCAACTAAAGAAAAGGAAGCAGTTATAGCCGAGGACAGCAGCTGTGCATGAGCCAGCGGCTCCACAACATCAGGCTGAAGAGTTCTTGAAATCCTGTTAATTACTGTTCTTGTTAAATTCGTGTGAAAAAACATCTTAAACTCTTAAAATGTGTTGGTAATATAATTATCAGTCTTTGAATAAAATTTAATCTTTTTAGTTTTCTAAGTTTTACTTTCAAGTATCTGAATTGTTCCTTTTTACTGTATTATTATCATTATTGCTACATGATGTTAATTTGTTACATTTTTGAAACACTGCCTGCATTTACAGTAACAGTGGTATACTTCACCCTGCTTTCTTCTCTTTTATTTAACAAAAATCTCAATAATCCTTATTTAAAAAAATCATGTTTTTAAGCAACAACAGTCTTTTCACAAGATTATTTCCCATACTCTCGAGTTTGGTGCCACGCCTCCGCCCTAAATGTCTTTGGTTACAGGATATTTGAAGGTTTCTTGGATGTCGGGCAAGTTTCACATCTCACAGTCATTTAAAGGGAATCTAATTTGTTATTGCATTTGATCCATTTCTGAGTTGATCTGCTTTTGTGACTGGACTCATTATTGGTCATGAAGCTCATTCTCTTCACATCTGAGTTTTATCTGCAGGAAAACCCGCTGCACTGTACTACACAACTCTATTTGTCCAGGACAAATATTCTTTGCTAACTACAGTCTTGCCCAGTTTTTTGAGTTCCACGGCTGCGTCTCCCTCACACATCACTAAAAACTACATAAACAACAGTATCTCCATATCTACACTCGAGAAGAGCTCCAAGAATCCGACAGCGGTAACAACATGATGACTGGAGCCAGAAAGGTGAACTGCTGTACAGATGTTCAAAGGTGACAGTGGTGCCCGACCAATGAACCAGAACAGAGACCTGCCATATCACATGGAAGGCTTCCATCAGGCTGCTCTCTCAGCAGATATCACTGAACTACCCTCAACAGCATAAAACTGATTGATTTACATGTTGATGTATACATGTTTGCTTCGGTTGAATAAACATGAGCTGATTTTTAGCAGACACCTCCATCTATTCGCTTCCGCTTGTCCTTTTCAAGGTCGCGGGGGCGCTGGAGCCTATCCCAGATGTCACAGGGCAAGAGGCGGGGTCACAGGGCCAACACACAGGGACAGACAACCATTCATTCGCACATTCACACCTGTGGGCAATTTGGATTAACCAATTAACCTGTCCCCACAAACTGCATGTCTTTAGATGGTGGGAGGAAGCCGGAGTACCCAGAGGGAACCCACGCAAACACGGGGAGAACATGCAAACTCCACACAGAAATTGAACTCAGGACCTTCTTGCTGTGCGGCCACAGTGCTAACCACCGTGCCGCCTATTTTACTTTACACTTTAAGACCTTCACCCAAAAATGCTTTTGGTAATATTTGATGATTTTGCCGATTCAGATAACTTGACGAGTTTGTGTAAATGCCAACAGGTACAATTACAGGTACAACTATTACATCTAAATCTGTCTGTAAAAGTCAGCACATGCAAACACAGGATAGGTGAGTGCAGATATATTATAGTGATATCGTTGTGCCTTTGACATAGGACAAATTACTTTGAACACATCTGGAATGACGTAGAGTCCAAGACGTTGTAGAAATGTTTAGCTTATTTTAGAGTTTAGAAATGTGTTAACATAGAATGTAGAATTATTGTAGAGACACTGACACTGCCCTCAATGT